GGAAACCCCGTAGTTAATAGTTGAAAGTCTTGGTGGCTTGAGGCGATCGATACCGCCATGCTGTTTACTTTATATGACATACAATGCAGTGAGTGATGTGTATCGCAACGAGTTAGCTCGGTTGGTAACGCGCCAGACGGCAATCCCAGAAATTGTGAGTTCGAACCCCAGTGCATCGGATATTAACATTTTAAACAATTTTATCATTTTTAACAATTTTATCAGTTTTAACAATTTTATCAGTTTTAACAATTTTAACAATCCTGCATTTTAACAATTTCAACATTTTTTTTTTGATTTTCGTTGTTTTGCTTTTAACATTCAAAAACTGATTGTTCTTACTCAAGAATGTCAATAACTTAGAATGTTAGTCTTTTGTATTTTTCCAACATACAAACCAAAATCACTTTGATGTTGTCACAAAAGTATGGAGCTGACAAGAGAGAATGAGTACGGTACTCTGCCAGTGTGAAGAATCTACAGAGGTATTACCAGTCACTAGTAGCAAGAGATAGACCACATTGAATGATGACGATGAGGACGAATCATATGGAGTACTATCATAGCTTAGTACAGAAATTCTACTGCTTTACTTTACTTTACTTTACTTTCTTTCACTCTGTACATGCAATTAGCTCACTGGCATGATTTTAAAAATAAATGTTATGATAATCATATTATATGTATAGCTTATTCAATGTATGGCTTCATAGTTTATGTGATTGTTAATAAGGCCATGTTGATTTGATTGTATGGATGGCATCTGTGCGCGCATCGGTTTTCGTTAATTTAAAACTAAGTTTACGACATTCATACAAAACATCTGGAAACTAAGCAAACATACTCTGTAAATTGATTACTGTAATTCCCGATTTTTTTTCACTGTACCGCAACGTAACGCAAGCAGGAGGTCAAATGTTCACGGTTTTCACTGTCACCTCTGTACCGTGAACTTATCTTTACAGTTAGGAAATAATTCCTGGACTTTCTTTTTCCTGCAACTGTCACCACCGTGAATATATAGTTCCGTGAACATGTCCATGTTTCTCAGACCGTGAAAATTTTGCTACCGTTAGTAGTAGTTGCAATTTCGTCATTAGTAGTATTTAGATACCTGCAATATGTAACTTTGAAATTGAGATAAGTGTAAAGTAAAGCTGTCGAGATTTAAAGTGCTTGTCGTTGTATCTTTGTAAAAAAAAGGGAGATAATGGCCAAGTGCCATTTTTGTAAATATCTGTCGAGATTCAAAAAGCTTGTCCTTGTATGATTGCAGTATGATTTATTCAGAATCTTCTATTTTTGTATGGGGAGGGAGATGGAGTGAAATATTACATTTGCTCCGAAGCAAATGTTGGCCTTTCTAGTTTTGTATTAGATTAACTCGTACATAGCCTACAAAGCATGCTCTACCTTTAAGTTACCATTTATTGACCTATTTCCACCCATTTGCAGTTCTGTGTTGTTTTTTGTTCTGTATTTTGTCACTGTGTACCTGTATGTTTGGTGGTGAGGTTAAAATGAGCCTTAGCAAGAGTACCTCATCACCATGTCCTGTATTGAACATGTTGAATAATTTATTACTATTCCCCAAAAAAAACATTAACCTTGGGCGCAAAGTTAAAATACAAAAAGTGCTTTGCATCAGCCATCAATATCAATATGTAAATTCTATTGCACATTATATAGTATTTTACCAGTATTGCACATTTTTACTCGAGGTTACCCGGTCCCTCTAGGACGCCGGGACCCAGGCCAACCTTATCGTAACCGCGGCCTCTAGCGTCAAGTACCAGGGTGCCTGCAGGGTGGTGACCAGTTCCTTCAGTACACTGTTATGGCGCCAGGTGTATATATCTGTTAGTGACACTGGACAGGCGTTCAGAACATGACGGAGTGACTGGTGACCTTGACACAATGGGCATTTTGTTAAAAGTACCTTTCCCAGCGGACCAGGTTGTCCCGTCCGTGTTGGTAGCCAGTTTGTCATCCTGTTTACCTCGAACTCAAAGACACCTCTTGAGGGGTTGCACAGGGATCCATCTCCACCTTAGGTCGGTTCTTTCGGCTTCAAGTAGTTCTGTCCACCTTCCTTGTATCTAAAGAGTTCAACAGTGTTCCTCAAGTTTGGCGTCATTGGCCCTTGGGTCTTTGACTGCTTGGCACAGCCTCTCCTTTTGCTGGGAGATTACTTGACTGTTTTGGGAGTCGTCGTTGGACAGTGTTTCTATGCTTTGTTCAACGGTCGTGTGACATTCCAGCGGTCCTGTTTACTTCCGTTAAAGGAACGATTCCCTTTCTACTTGACGGGCATCCTGGACACTGCCATCACCAGAGGTTGGGACAATTGCAATCACATTGGCATGTGATTGTACGTACAGCTGTTTAACGGATGTAAGTTCTAGTCCTTGAGTATACCCAGGTCAGATGACTTCTTCATGCTGGTCCATTAAGTTCTTGCAGATGAATTCTGGTGACGTCATAGTCAGGAGGTACCTAATGACACTCTGGACGTACAGCCTGTATATCTCACACTTGTACTCTCCGTGGACAGGAGAGGCGTCCATGTTCATGTTGTTCCCACGCTGTGTGCTTGAGCCAATAATTCCTCCTTCAGGATGTCAGAGACAGGGCCTGACGAACCCCTAGCAGAAATATAACCATCCAAGAAAGGTGTTGTGATTATGTTGTCCATAGGGTGGTTCCAAATTGAGAAAGAAACACCCTTAGCGTGTCCGCTGCATATGCTGAGGTTTTCCATTTTATGGGCTTCAGGGTCGTCAGGTGGATGCTAACCACGCCACATGGACGGTATCTGACGACGATCTTGCATTCCCGATGATTTCATTGGGTACTAATGAATGATTGACACACCCCGTTACTTCCTTCAAGAATCATTTTTTAACTTCACTGTCAATGAATCGATTCTTAACGAATAACTCTACCATACGGTTTCCAAGGATTGAACGGTACAGTTTGGCAGTGGTGATGATTAATGAGATCAATCTAAAGTTGCCTAGATCGTCTGTAGGCCCCGATTTATGGATGCTGATGGTATCTGCAAACTGTCACGACTTCCATGGTTGTTCTTGGCCGACGATCTTGTTGAATAGGGTGGTTAGGAAGTGGTGCGTTGAAGGGAGATGTCTGGAGACATTATAGCCTATTCCGCCTGGCCCAGGGCCAACGTGGATTTCTTCATGGACAACGGTAATAGAAGTTCAGAACTAAAAGCATGCAAGTGACACTGAGATCGCTGTGACACCGGTCCCAAATTAGGGATAGCCTAAAAATGCATCACTTCGGTGGCAACCTAAGTCTAATCAGACCCTCTAAGATTTTATTATACCCTCTTATCATACCCACATCATTTTATAACACCCTTTTTGTTGTATACCTGCTGAGTTTTACGATCATACAATAAAAAATCAAGTCTGACTAGGATTAAAAGAACTCTAAACTGATGAAAAACAGTTATGCTGTTATCGCTTAAAATTACTGTGCCAAGTTATTTTTTTATTCCGCTCTTTATTCACATCTCAGATAAAATGTGTCTCTGTTTTCACAGACTCATGTACTGGGTGAACCGTCCCAATATTGACCGAGCAGCGATGGACGGCAGCAACCACACTACTATCATCAGGAACCTGATTAGTCCCTTTGCCATTACAATAGACTACACAGGTGAGAAAACAAGCAATAGAGAAACGCCATGTACACAAAGAACAAGTCTGTTATAATATATAATACTGCTGCTGTAAAGTCAGACATAACAAATTTATTCCCATTTTTAGTTTCTTTCTTCTATTTGTAAGGCCAAGCCTTTTTGTGACGCGCCGATTTGAGGCATAAGACATGGTCACATGAAAAGTCGATAGTACAGTCAAAATAGGTCAGATCAAGCACATAAATGGATCTTCGTTATCGGGACAAGTTGCCCAAGCTCCTGCAGTACAGTTGAGGATTCAAAAATTATTCAAACACGAGATATGCATAGAGTCATACATGTAGAGTCAAAGTTGACCTTCAAATGGCTTCCTTATGCCTCATTTCGGCGTAAATTTCGCACTGCATGGGGGTTTCCGCGTTACCGATTTCCAGATTATCTTATCTACTTCCGGCTCGAAGCCTTTAGAAGGGGTCACAGTTGCTGAACCCAAGTACACCCTGTACATGCACTGAATGTTTGCCCCTTTTTCTGCTAAGATTGGGTCGACATTTGCCACTGGCGATTTACAGACGGCAAGTTGTGGGGCACGAAAGAAAAGACGAGTGTTTATTTGTTTCGATAAACAATCATTGCCATAGGATGTATTAGTTTTCGGACGGAAAAGCTTTACCGCATATCAAAGTGGGTTGAGACAGTCGAGACAGTGCAGTTTTCGGACGGAGAAGTTTTAAGTTTTCTTACATAACTGCTTGGATATACAGTAGTGATGAATCGGTGCATACTACTAAGAATTCTGGGGCGGACAATTTTTCTAAAACTTGAAGTTTTCCGACAGGTTTCCGGGTAAAAGTTTGTGAAAATACATTTACGAACGTGACAGCGCTAGCATAGTGAAGCACTATGGCGGAAAGTGTTCCGACCTAAAACTGTGTCAAACCATTGACACACTTCAAAGTATGCATGGATTAGACAGTATATCTAATGTGTCGCGTCTATTTAAGTTTGCAAAATGTCTATTGAATGGATTGGCGCAAAAAAATTTGGTTATAACTGACGGATATGCACGTCATACAGTAGAAACTTGAATATGCGTCGTGGGATTGACACAATTTCTGATTGAACAGTTTTCGGTAAGGAGATTGCGCGTGATAGAATTGATACAGATCTCAAAAAGAATTGTTTTCGCGTATAATTGAGCAGATGTACAATTCCTTATAAGAGGGTGGTTATACTCTTTATACTCGTACAGTGTAAACTTGAAAGTGCGTCACAAGATCGACACAGTTTTCTGATAAAATGTTTTCGCTTTTCAGTGGGTTTTTATACACTTTACACAGTGCAAACGTCAATTGTATGACAGCCTATTGTTTTTTGTACAAAACTGGGATCTGAATATCTGAATTTCAATCTCTTCTAGGAGGATTCCAGATTCTCCTAGGGGAGATAGGGATTCCAATCTCCCCTAGGAGAATTCCGGATCCCCCCCTTTTTTACAGGACAATCTTTAATTTTAAAAGGAGAAATTCTGATTGCATCAAAATGCTTTGGAAAATAGACTGAGTTATTTCACACCTAAACTTTCGATCAATTTCATAGGTAAGTGAATATGTAATAAAATCAGACTCAGATATTTGCATCAGGCCATTGTGAGATAGTGACTCAAAAACCTTTTTTTTTCACTTAGTGACTTGGTATATAAGGGATTGTATCCCCCTACCAAGCCAATCAGCTCAAGTGACAGCATACGTGAACAAGTGATGGCGGAGGATCTTAGGAAAGATTGCAATCATGGAATTAGAACTGCAAATTATGCCAGGATAAATCTTGATTCCAATCTAGTAATTCACCTACAATTACAGTAATAAGCTTGCCTATGCTGAAATTGGTTGAAAGTTTAGGTGTGAAATGATTCAATCTATGAGTTCTAGTATTTCTACTATTGAACTGGGATCTGAATCTGGATTCCAATCTCTCCTAGGAAGATTCCATATTCTCCTAGGGGAGATAGAGATTCCAATCTCCCCTAGGAGGATCCCCCACCCCCCCTGGATTCCAATCTCCCCTCAATCAATCAATCTTTATTCATTAAGGAACTCGCGGGCAACACATGTGCACCCGAATTACGTCCTTATTACACAAGTCACATTAAAAACATTTACATTTTAAAACGAATCGTCACATAGGTAAAATCTCAATATTAAAAACATCACAAATAACATGTCACAGTTAACATATGCTGTACATGGCGCGCTTACCAGATGTCCAATTACTCAGCGCTAATTGTCTTGTTGTAAAGACGAATTGCGCAATGGAGGAAAGAATTTCTTAGTCTCTCAGTCCGGGCCCTTGGTACACTGATAGTGCTAGAGTTTCTGTAACATATACTTTTCAAGTGTGTCATACGATTGCCCCACTTTTGGAAGGAAAAGTTTTTCATCATAAGTGGGTGAATATTCAGCGGAAACGGTGTATACTTTGAAAGTGTGCCATACGGTTGACACAGTTTTTGACGGAAACGGTTTTCGTCATAAGTTCGTGAATAAACAGTCTAAATAGTGTATACTTTGCCCGCGTTCCATACGATTGACACAGTTTGCAGACGGACAAGATTTCCATTATAAGTGCGTGAATATACAGTCTAAACGGTGTATACTTTGAAAGTGCGTCGTACGATTGACACAGTTTTCAGATGGAAATCTTTTTAATCATAAGTGCGTGAATTTACAGTCGAAAAGGTGTTGAATCTGAAATTGTGTCATACGATTGACACAGTTTTCATACGGAAATATTTTCTGTTATAGGTGCGTGAATATGCAGTCTAAATGGTGTATACTTTTCAAGTGTGCCATACGATTGCCACACTTTTGGAAGGAAAAGTTT